CGCCACTTTGCCCACTCCTGCTCTAACTACTAAAACCCCCAAGCTTACGTAGATTGACCTGAAATGTGTGTAGTAGGAGTCCAAAGAAGGATTTCCATTCCAAATTTTGTCATCTTTTGAATAAGTGGCTTCCAAAATTCAGCCCCTACTTGTTTCCCTACAACCTTTCTTGAAGATGGCAGATTCTATCAACAGCTGGGGAATAAGCCATCACTCTGATTTTGCCCAAACTTGCTTGATATTTCCCCCAGCTGTTGTGTGACTTCCCTCTAGAGAAGCAGCTTATATAATGAATGGGGTTTTTGAGCTGTTTACTAGAAAGACACTGGTGCATTTGGGGTGGTGCCAAGGTACAAGTCAGTGGTCAGCAATTTTTTTCAAATGGCAAGCCAAAATGACACAGCTTGTATCTGAGGTGGGCCAGCAGTAGGCAGGACCTGGTCACTGCAGCTGCCAGTGCATCTTTCTGCTGGTCCAGGTGCAGTGAAGGGAGCACCTGGTTCTGCAGAACAAATCCAGTGGCTCCATGAACTCCAGGTAGTCAGCCTCTAATGTAAATGATTAGAGAGGAGAATGATGACTGCAGAAGCCAAGAAAGGGCATAGAAAGATGCTGTTATGAGAGAAGGATAGCTGTGGAAAAGGGTGTTGAAGCTGTAATCCAGAGGGAATTGGGGACTTGGAGGAAAGGGTAAACAAATTGACTAGTTCAGTTGGCAGTGGGTTGCGGCGGTGTAAAACCATCATGGTGTTGTTACTGTGAGGAGTGTCAGCAGGCTGAGGTTGAAGGGTCCTACTCTCCCCCTCCCCCTGGAGCACCTTGTGAGGTCTGACTTTAATGGAGCATTTGAGGTATTCAGAGAGCTCCCCAGTGATCTGTTAGGGAAAGATAAATCTTTTCTGTCCAGAAGTGTGCTTCCACACCTGTAGTTCAGTAAAAAGAGCAGGACATTTTAATTTTTTCTAGGTAGTTGATTGCAGTAGTGTAGGTAATGAGTGCAATGGAAACCACAGTACAATGCAAGACTAATTAGATTGTTAGTGGTGGTAAGAGAACTAAACGAATGAAAAAAAGCTGAGGTTTCAGTTAACAGTTTGAGCTTTAAGATCAGTTATATCAAGCTTGACTGAAAGTACAAAATAGATATTTAAAAAAAATGTAAAAAAAATGATTTTTTTTCTTTTTTGAAATCTTATTATTTTTCTTATTTGTTCTGTGACTTTAATGATGCACTGTTATTTCAGGAAGTTAAACAAGATACATATTCTGTTAACTTGCTGCATTTATAATAGGGTTCTAGCTTTATTCGCTGCATCAAGCCTAATTTAAAGATGACAAGTCACCATTTTGAAGGAGGTCAGATTCTCTCTCAGCTTCAGTGTTCAGGTAATGTATGCCCATTTCTGGTTCATTTATTATGTTGTGTATTTCAGGTACATGTAGATCTGGAACAATAGAAACAATATTATTCCTTAATTAAAGAAAGATTGGTACTCATATTGCTATCAAGATGCAATTAAAGTGTGACTTAAAGTGTATTAGTTAATTCTGTAGTTCATTATTAGTAACACAATAAGTCAAAGAGAGACTGTATAACTATAATATGTTGCAGATTTTTTTCACTGTCAAGTAAAAAGCTGACTTAGCTTTTTCCATTATGCATTTGATTTTTGTTTAGGACCTGCAGACTTCTTTAGCTGCAGGAACTTTACAGTAGCTTTCTTAATAGAATCTGGTATTCTTCCTTGTTTCCACTCCTTTTCCCACTTCTCTTCTAAAATAAGAAACATTGGCTGACCTAATGTCACACCTCTGAATTTCACTACTGGTCTTGTCTAGCTAGAAGGGGCATTCTAATGAGGTACGTGCTGGAGTGCAAGACATCTGACCTATTTACTCAGTCTAGGAAGGATTTGCTGCCAATCTTTTACAAGGCAAAATTTTATTCTACAGCAACATTTGGCAAAACATCAGACAAAACTTTTCTTCTGCCAGTCCTGGGCTACTGTTCCCAAAAGCTTCTTCCCTTCAATTCCCTGGCCTTTTTAGATTCTGCAAAAAAAATGTGGTGTTTTACTGCAGCTTCTCTACAGTTCGTCTCTCAGACTTTTATAAGAGAATCAGACGTAATTGCATAGGCAGATTTGATAACCCATCAGGATGGGCCCCAAGCCTCCTAGGGGTGGGGTGTTTTAATTAGAATGGTTCCTGAAGAGTCACTCTAATTAAAACATCTCACTGGTTTTAAACCCTGTGGGTTTAAAAATGGCCATGGAGGTGCTTTTATCTAAACCTCATTTGATGAGGTTTAGATAAAGTGTTCCTGTGGCCATTTTTAAATGCATAGGGGCTTATACACATGATGATGATGATGATGAGGCCACACTGGAGCATTCTAATTACACCAATCTGTGTTCTAATTAGCATGCAAACCAAGACATGTATAGACATTCTTAGATCCTGAAGGAGGCAGGGCAGCACATATGCATTTTCCTGGTGGTCTGGGATGCTTTTGTACCGTGCTTCCCAACCTTTTCCTCATCATGACCCCATTTAAATTGGAAATTTTTTTGCAACCCCAAAATGATGCAGGTTATATCAATACCCCCTCCCCCTGTGGGTGGCAGGGCTGGAATGGAGCCTGTGGTGGGGAGGGGCAGGGGAGGGAAAAGTTGCAGGCTGCCCACTGAGGGCTTGGGTTTCCCCACCCTGCTGCCCTCCCCCCGGGGCCTCTGTAGTCCAGTGGGCAGCAGAATGGGGCAAGGAAGCTCTGCTGCTGCTGGGAGCCCCACACTAGCTGCACTGCCATGGTGAGGTGTACCCCCTGCCCACCCGGGAGCAGCAATGCAGGCGGCACAGAGTTGTGCCCCCTGCTGCTTCCAGATGGGCAGGGGGGGCCTTGCCATGGCAGCAGCACCACGCCCCACTGGCCCCTCTCTGCCCTCCTATGCTGGGTTCCAACCACTGGGCCACAGAGGCCTCAAGGCAAGGGCAGCAGGGCGGGGAGCCCCAAGCCTGCAGCAGACAGCCTGCGTCCACCCTCTACCCATGCACAAATCTGGGAGGCACATGCTCTTCCCATGCTTTCCTTCCTGGGAGTGCGCACAGAGGTGGGGAACTAGCCTCCCGGATGAGCTACCCATGGCTCATTCCTGCCCTCCCAAGTTAGGTCCCACATTCCTGCCCCAGCTCTGGGAAGCATCTCCAGTGCTAGCCCTGCCCCACTCCCTCCCTCACTATGGGGGCTTCAATCTGTCCTCTCCGCTTAGACGTACCTGGAGGGAGCTGCTCTCCCTGCTGTCTGGCTGCTGCGCGTGTGTGTGTCCCCTGCCTGATTGCCCTCCTCCCCCCTCCCCCCACCTCATGCAGCTCCTTGCAGGCTGGAACTTTGCCAGCCTGCAAAGGGAGCCCACTGTTTGCTGCTTCTTTCTGTGATTTTCAGCATAAGTGGTTAATGCTGTTAAGTGCCTTTGTGACCCCATTTTTTATTGTAGCGACCCTGAGATTGGGAACCGCTGCCTTAGTGCCTCTAGAACCTTAGTGAGCAGCTCAAGAAGAGATGACATAGCAGTGTCCTGTTAGCTGCATCTGCAGAGAAGCAGGATCTCAAGCCAGAACAGAACAATTTATCTGTAAATTCAAGTGTTTACAGATTATTCAAGTGTTAGAAACTGTGCATCCAAGCGAAGGATATCTGAATTAATTAGGATGTCCACCACTTGAAACAGTTCTGTTATCTTCTACTCTGCACATGCTTTGGTTAAGGTAATCACATTTATTTTACCATTCTTATGACCAGATGTTTTCAAAATTTGTCTTGCTACTATTGGTCTGATGTGTAATCAGGCTTCTCCTGTTGGCATTTCAGTACATTTATATCACTTCTACCATTTACATAACCTGGAAACACCAGTGACCCCCTATGTTTAGGGATTACTGGATGTGTTGTAAGGTACTTGAAGTTCATTTCATAGTTCTACTACATTATCAATTTCACTTTCTTTTGGCTCTCCTAGTATCTTCTCAAAGAGTTATGTTTCTCAAAAGCTGCATTTAGTATGAGGGCATCCCATCAAAATAAGCAAGATACCACCCTACTGCAAACTGAAGAAAACCAACAAGGGGAAATAGTTTCTCTTCTTCAGGATCAAATCACAGCCTTAATACTAAATTTTGTGTGTGTTTGTGTCAACCTGAGTTGCACCAATTCCCAGTCATGATGATGTGTATTAAGTTGTGAAGAGAATTTTCATCTATATGGACACTTATGTCACCGACCACGATATGCTTCAGTGACTATAACAAGGGTGGGCAAAATGCGGCCTGCAGACCAGATGCAGCCTGCTGGGCCACTGTATCTGGCCTGCGGGGCCCCTAAAAATTTTAGAAAATTAATATTTATATGCCCCTGGCTACTTGTCATGGCTACGTGGCCCTCAATGGCTTGCCAAAACTCAGTAAGTGGCCTTCCACCTGAAATAATTGCCCGCTCCTGGCCTATAGCACCGCTGTAGCAAGGAAGCCGCTCTTTCAACTGAGATCTTGGCAGTGCAGCAGGACTGCTGCTATACTGAAATGAAGCCCATCTGAATCTGGCCCCAATACTTAAATGAACATAAGCAATGAGCTCTTGCTTTTGAATGATACCGCATGCTCATAATTCTGAAAAAAAAAGAGAAAAAAGTCCTTTCATAATTCATGGTATTATTCTAAAGATAGATTTATCCAGACTGTTCCTTGCAAGACTGTGAATAGTGATATGAATGGATTAGCAGGTTGCTAGAATGTGCTTTTAGTAAAGCATATTGCCACATTGTGAGTCAGTATTAGATCACATTATAGGGATTTTTTTCACTTTTTCTTTCTCAATATTTGTCTTTTTCCTTTTTGTAGTTTCAACTGATTGTGCTTAGTTTCTCTTTTTCAAATGCTACAGACGTTTCCAGGTTTGGCATCTGGTGTCTTGGCAAGCCTGCTTATACTTTGTCCTGTCAAGTCATGTTTATGTTTAATTTAGCTAATCACAAATGCTTAACAACTTTGCTTTAATTAGGATTCCATTAACACCATTATCAGCAGGTTTTTGTAGGTTAAGAGCACTTGGCAGTGTTGGGGAGACAGAGAGAGTGAATAGATGAAGCTTTTTATTTTCTGCCAGAGTACATTTTTATAAGCATGTTGTGCTGTAGTATTTTTGTGCACTTATTTTAGCTAATCAAATAGAAAAACAACAAATACTTCCAAGAAAATGAATGAAGTTTAAATTGGAGAGGAGAGGTTTCCTATGTGACTTTTTTTTTCTTGGGGTGGGGGGAAAGGGGACAACTTAATGGAACTAAATCAAAAGGTGAAAAAAATACAGCAGACATCACCAGAACAAATATTTAAACAGGAGAAGTGACAAATAGATAAAGCAATCACCAGTAATGGTAAGTAGTCGAACAAAGGGGAAACTTTAAAATGTGTACAATGTTTGTTGTTAGGATTTTCAAAAATGGCAGAATAGGATCGAATGTGTTTTATTGGTTGACATAGCTCCAGCCATTTACTGATTTGGATAGCATTAAGTTACACTTCAGGCTTTTGTTTCCACATTAGGATTTATTGATCCCGTTAATATTTTCATTCCACTATATTGCTTTGGCTATATCAGGGTTATACAAATTGCCTCTTACCAGATGAGGCACAACCCCAACACTGTGAGTGAACCCCAATATTCTGACACTGAGGCTAATAGCAGTTAATCTGTGCCAGTTCCACACACCTGGAGATGGTGTGAGGCCACTAATGTCATTGACATCACACACATCAATGTCATTTTATTATTATTAGTAGTAGTTGTAGTAGTATTATTCCCCCTTCTCCCCCTCCCCTTTCAAAAAAGATTAAGAGCAAATAAGATACCTGCTAGGTATAGCTTATTTCTTCTCTTAGCAAGTCCACTGTATTGTGGTTAATTTATAAGATAAGATTTAACAGAGAAGCCAGAAAATAAGACCAGTGCCCTTGATTTCCAGGTACCTGGCAGTAAGGGGGAAAAAATCATTGCAGACTGTCTTAGTCATTTCCCATGTAGCCATTTGACCAGGAAATGGTGGATTCTGGGGCCAGTCTATGATGAGCCCTTTGCTGAATTGAGACTGTAGGCCAAGCTTTTGAGCTCTTTCATAGGGTTTAACTCCTTATTATTTTCTTTATTAAAATAAATCCACTGGTGCATTTACTAATGTCAGCTTTTTGTGTGTGTGTTTGTGACTATAGGCATGGTGTCTGTTTTGGACTTGATGCAAGGTGGTTTCCCATCACGCGCTTCATTTCATGAGTTATATAACATGTACAAGAAGTACATGCCTGCAAAGCTAGCTCGACTGGACCCGAGGCTCTTCTGCAAGGTAGCAACACTCTGAATGCTAAATGACACGTTCATATTATTGTTTTTCATTTTGGGCAGCAAATATTATCTTGGTTTACAATGCTGGGTCTTTTTAAGAGAGTGTTTTTATTGAATATGAACCAAACTGATTTTTTTTCTTTTTTAATATTACAGGCACTATTTAAAGCTTTGGGTTTAAATGAAATTGATTACAAATTTGGATTAACCAAAGTGTTTTTTAGACCTGGCAAGGTAAGTATGTCAATTTGTTTGTAGCTTATGAACATATAATGTTTCACCTTGATGCTATTTCCTAATATTTTTTTGGCTGCAGTTCATTAATTTCAGACCAGTTTGAAATAATTTTAAGTATATTTAAAAATATATATACATTTATATTTATTTTTCATGTTTCATCTGGTTCCAGAAAATAATGTTTCTTAGTACAAAATTATTATGCTATCATAAAAAGAAGACAACCTTCGCAATTTTAGCAGAGAAACAAAGTTTTTCATTAATATGTATCCATATCCAATACATCCTTCTTTATATAGATAGGAAAAGGAAAAAAAATGTAGTAATTGTGTCCAGGGATAAGCTTTCATTACAATGGCAAGAACCATTGCTATTATTATGGAAAGCTATAGCGTGCAAGTCTGAGATTTTCAAAATTGGCTACCTTAAACCTGGCTACTAAGCTAAGTTTTCAGGAAATGAATTGTGACTTCTGGGCCTCTTTTTGGGGTTCTTAATGTAATTTAAAATGTACTTTCAAAGATGTATAACTGAGAGACAGCTAAGTAAGTGGGGCACCCAAAATGGGTAATAAGCCTCTATTCAGGCTAAGTGGCTCAATTTTCAAATGTTGCAAGCATTTAAATGCTTTAAAAATACTGTAGTCAATTCTCAAATTATTTGTTGAATTAGTTGGAAGATGTACGCAGTGCATTGCCATGGTTTCAAGGTTCAGTTTACTGTAGTGATCTTTTTATCTCCATTCTGAACATTCTGTTATGTTATGTCCACTGTCGTTCTCATTTTGTTGTATTTAGTTTGCAGAATTTGATCAGATAATGAAGTCTGATCCTGATCATTTAGCAGAGCTGGTTAAACGAGTCAATTACTGGCTTATCTGCAGTCGCTGGAAAAAAGTTCAGTGGTGTTCTCTATCAGTGATTAAATGTATGTATTCTGATATTAAATGTATTAACATTTATTCAATGTATGTATTCTATTGTTTTAATAAACCCAGATATTTGATAACACTATAGAATAGCAGCTAGCTCCATTAGTTCATAATTTGAATAGTAGTAACTAAGGTCCACATCTGTATTTGCTTTGCTTAGTATGTGAATATGTTTTTGAAGTCAACAGGACTTCTCATGTTTCATGGTAAGTGTATGTGTAAATTCTTAAAGAACTACACCCTAAATGAGCATCATAATTGAATCCATTCCACTGTATTTAGGATTTAAAAATGTGCACAACTAAGTAATGGCCTAAGAGGGTATGTTACAGAGAGTTTTTATATGACAGTTGTATGTATTTCATAGTTTCATAGTTGGTAGGGTCAGAAGGAACCTGAGCAGAACATCAAGTCCAACCCCCTGCCATGGCAGGAAAAAGTACTGGGGTCAAACGACCCTAGCAAGGTGTTCATCTAGCCTCCTCTTAAAGACCCCCAGGGTAAGAGCCAGCACGCCTTTGCTTGGAAGTTGGTTCCAGATCCTAGCCACCCTGACAGTGAAGTAGCACCTCCTGATGTCTAGTCTGAATCT